TTCAGATGTGAACCAACAGATCCAGGTTTCAGATGTGAACCAACAGACAGGTATGACTTCGGATGATCAAACAAGCAGCAAGGAGACAAACCAAAGACAGCAGAGAAACCATGAGACAGTCCTGGTCTGGATCTGCTGGGTCCCACCTGTCATCGGTAACGCTGGCGATGTGGCGTCCATCAGGGAAGAAAGTCACGGAGCGAACCCAGCGGTCATTGGCCCCTCCAGCAAAAATGGGTGAAGGAGGGGGGAAGAGATGTCTGGAGAAGGAAGACAGCAGGTCAGAAAGAGCACGAGGACATGGAGCACCGTGTTCTGCTGCACTTCTGTCTGCGGCAGCAGCTGGTTCTGATCCGGTCCGAGCTCGTCACCACATAAAAACTGAATCAAGATTAATCCCAACGGATAAACGAAACGTTTATTTTGACCAGATTAACACCCTTAGTCAGATGACGCTTTAAATGTCCACTGTGTGGACATGTCTTTACTCCGGTGGACACTGAAGGAGCCTCGATCTTCTTCTTGTCCTTCAAACTCATTCTGAGGGACATCATCTAGTTTTCTATTGACCTGAAACATACATGCATGTGCTCCATAATTTGACGTGCTCCATAATTTAAAACTCGACACTTCATGTTGACTCAACAGCTGGAACAGATCTTCTGTGGGAAACACCTTGCTCTTATTTCTTTAGTTTAAATATTTGATTTCATTATAAGTAATAAATATGTTAAAATACTCCAGATTAATAATGTTTCAAAGTATAAAACTGACAGGTGGTGTGTGCTCATCTACTGGTACATGCTGCGGCCCCCACCATGCTTCACTGCAGGTCTTGGCCCCTCAGTGGAGATGCTGCCTCCGTGTCTGGTCGGAGCACAGAGTCCAGGCCGTCTCCTGGTCTCCAGCCACAAGCAAACGTGGTTTTATGGTGAGCAGCATGAACAGAACATCTGGAACCAGCCAGTGGTTGGAGCTGAATGAAACTTCAGGAACCAGTCAGTGGGTGAACATCTAGACCTGACTGACTTCTGGAATGATGTGGAGCTAAAGTTGGTGTGGTCCAAGCTGGGACTCATGTCACAACATATTGCATGAGACTGTGCAGAATCTATTTGACAACAACTGGTTAAATGTTGACGTCAGCATGAGAGGAGTTTGTCTCCAGACTGCGGTGTGGAACGTGTCAGACTCTTCTGTGCAGATCCATCCAGGTCATCTGTGGCCTCCTGGACGCTTCTCTCATCACTGCCGTCCAACAAGCTGCTGGCAGGTGTGCTGTGGCGACATCATCCTTCCACTTCCTAATAATGGATCTCTGTGGGATCTTCACGGTTCTGGGACACGTTTTAAAACCCAGCCCTGTCCTGTGGTCTCCAAGACGTGTCCTCCTTAGTGTTAGACCTTACAGCACGGAGGTGTTGGTGGTCAGAGCAGGTGCATTTACTGAGCTGCCTCTGAAGGACACGGTCGAAGCTTCAGAACAAACGGGCCGAGTCCTCGTTTCAATGTAATATTTTTACAGCTGCTGTTTTTTATTTAGCTTCTTTATTTTGTAAAATCCTTTGTGTAGACTTTTCCTAAGAAGCAGATAAAACTCCATTAAAGCCCCAGTTAGGGTTCGGTTGCCAGGTAATGTCTCACCCCAGCTCCAGGAGGACCGTGGCCTTGTGGTGGTCCCACACAATCACTCGAGTGTCGTAGGAGGCGGTGGCCAACAGCGCCCCATCTGGTGAAAAGTCACAGGACACCACATCGTTGTGGTGTCCCTCCAGCCTCCGTATCAACGTGTACTTATCCATGTTCCACAGTAACACCTGCAAGTTGAAGAGAGCAACCGTTACAACCCCAGAATGACTGGGCAGCACACGGACGTACCGCTTCATATTTAACGTTGTCTCGACTAAATTAACTGGAATTACAACATAATTAAACAAGGTAGGCTCAGAGTCACTATGACGGCGCTGCGTAGTTTTAAAATGGACAAGAACAACAAACAACATGCTACACAACCAGCAAGACTACCGTCATTATAATTACAACTAAACTAGCTATGAATAGGAAATCTACATCATTTTATTTGGATTATACGTGTTTTTACAGAAATGCACTTTATGAATACTACGTAGTAATTTAACAAACAAGTGAACAAAACAGAGAGAAAACAAGAAGTAACTTAAAATAACAAAATTACTCCACTGGTTTCCCCATTCAGAGTTTTAGTTCAGTGTGTTTACAAAAGGCTCACATCTCCAGCAGAAGCCTACGGAGAGAGACAGATACTGCAAGAGAAAAACATATTTTATGGCCAAAGGTCTCACACCCTGGCAAAGTACACACACACACATACACACAGGCACACGCATGTCAACACATGTCAGAAAATGGTAACTGTACGTTTTTAATTCAGTATTACACTGGGCTTTGAGTTAAATAGTTGATTCAGCAGTTTGAAACTTTTTCTCTTGCAGTTTAACGTCAAACAAAGAAAAGTTTGATGAGTTCATGCAACAACATTTAATTTAATAAAGTATTTAGAATCGAACGAAACGTTCGTCGTCACATCTGTGCTGATACAGACGGACAGTTTGTTCTGCCACTCAGGGCGTAACGGTACGCAGGTTTATACCAGTCACAGCACACACACGGGACGAGTACTCTGAAGTACATACTGTATGTGTTTCTCATTTGGGA